CTCCACTTCGGAACAGTGGAGACCATCTAACATGATTTTCAAATCATTCAACCAAAGATCCGCTGACACTGGACCTTCCTCAGCTTCTCCCTTAAATTCGGGACCTCCTAAACCTCTTAGCTCTTTTGCTACATTAATTCTTTGAGTTAATGGAGCAGAAGGTTGAAGACGCGTCAGAATAGCGTCTAACGTTCTGAAGAACGTATCTTGATCTTGTACAGGCACTCCTTGAGATGCCTGTTCTTCACCTTGCCTGGCCAGGGCAGGTGAATTACTGCTTTCAGCATGCCTATCTTCTCCCGCTTCACTTCGGGAGCTATTATGTCTGGACATCTAATAAGAATAAACACATTGTTCTATTAGCAAAAAAACATACTCATACTATACCAGATCAGAAGTTCTCACTATTTGTTGGCATGTATTCTATTTAAAGACTCTATAGACTCTGGTTCATGCCTAGAATCGGCTAAACCATAGCTCTGATACCATTAAATGTAACACCCCCAACCCGTACCCGACCCGGATATGAGTCAGAGATACTACATTGACTTTAAAACACAACTTTTAACAAATAATAGCAAAATATTTGAACTTATATTAAGAAAATACGATAATATACATATTGTAATATAAGTTTACCAAAATATTTAGAGCATACACAACTTAACCCTTTAATTACATGCCAACTGCCATTTACATAACAAAATGACCTACTGATTAAGTTGCTTCTGATCTGGTGGTTGCAGGAGTAATGCTGTCAAGCTGCTTAACCTGTCTCGTCTACTTTCTCGGATCCTACGTGTGAAACACTCACACGCTAAGTCATCGACTTAGTGAGGCAATGTAATAATAATAACAAAGCAATGTAATGACCATGTCATAATATGAAATGAGATGCAAACATGTACTTAATCAATGTAGTCTACATCATCAATATCCATACCTGTAAGCATATTACTTTAGCATTCATGAATTTGTATGAATAAGTTTATTGGCCCATGATATCATACTGAGAACCTAAGGTATTTGAGTAATGTTTGTGCACTATGCTGTCACCACAGCTCGTATAAATGCACCGAAGTACCGCGTAGAATTGCACCGTAGTGCCATATAATGATGTCCATAAGGACCATATATAATTCCTTAAGAATCATATACATATACTAGGGATCAAGTCTGTGTCTTTCAAGACTTCACACATGTTCCAAAGAATATACATATGTCCCGAAGGACCGCGTAGACCCTCTACCCTTGGCATGCCAACTATACCTATAGTTCTCATCTACATAACATGGGCTTTTACATTTCACGTAGTCTATATCGCGTAGACATGTAAATTCTTACCTTTTCACATAGCTCATAACTTTTCCCACATAGTCATGTCATATAATGCATTTTATATGAACTCATGTCATGTCTCATAATACAGAATATGCTCATGTACCAAGATATAAAATCTAGACTTATCACAAGTCTAGAATGGAGTATATTTCTATAATTATGCTATGCATATGCACTCACCTATATTTCTTTGCCTTTTCCTCGATCGATCCTACTTGTAGATTGTTCCCGAACTCGTGTAGGCTCAGTATCTACATAATAATTCAATGATACTTATCAGTATACTAATTAATATATTCTAAACTATCATTCCTTAGACTCATAGAAAAGCCAATTTCATCCTTTAATGAAGGTATGCATCGATGCACTACTGATGCATCGGTGCATAAAATGCATTCGATGTTGTATTATTACTGAGATGCATCGATGCATGACTTATGCATCGATGCACTAATTGCATTCGATGTTTCTATTTTAAAAGAGTGCATCGATGCATTACCAATGCATCAATACACCTTCAAATAATTTCTGGGTTTTAAACTTTATGCATCGATGCACTATGAATATGCATCGATGCACTCTGCCCAGAATCCTCTTTTATGCCCGAAAATCCACTCTTTCAGCTTAATACTTCATATATCATCCTCTTTCTTATTTCCTAACTTGCATACTCTTACTTAAGCTAATTATTATCCATTAAATATTTCTAAAACTTAGAAATCTAATTCTCCATGTAGAATTTAAGAATCTAACCCAAATTCCAACATGTTCTAATTTGAATTCTAACACCTCATACTTCTTAGTTAGCTTATTGACAAGTCAAAAATCTTATTCAAACTTCAAAAACTCATCCATATCAAAATTTCATCTAAAAACTCATTTTCCAAATCTATCTCTAAAACATTTATCTTGTTGTCTTAATGTCATATAAGCTTTCCTTTAGCTTATATAACATCCAAACTTCAATTTCCAAGCTAAACATCAAAGAAACTACCAAGGTTCAAATTCTTACCTTAAACTTGGGTCTTCACGTTTGGAAGAAGAGAAGAGTGAAGATAAGAAAGAAGGAAGAAGAAATGAGAGGATTCTGGAAACATTTGTTTCCTCCACAAGCCCCACGTGGGTTATAATATAACCCCATAACATTTTTTTTAATTATAATTTTTCCTTACAAATGACCATTTTGTCCTTACATTCATTTCATATTTACTAACCATTATTTTTAAACTATATAATTATTCTACTTTAATCACCAAATGTTGAAACTTTGCAAATTAATCACTAACCCGACATGGAGGATGTTACAGGCATAGTCGCTAAAGAATGTTCCAAGTTGCTTCGGAACCATAGTACTAAATTGCGGCTGCAACGCAATGTAACACCCGCATCGTAACGTTTTTGAAGGTTACCATGACATAATATCGACGCAACACGATAAGGGAACCACATCACGATTGTTGCAATAAAAAACCGTTACGTAACACCGCAACACGCTATAAATTGCGTCGTAATACAACAAACTTTAAATTATCTGAAATATAAAATTACATAGATGAATTGTTCTAATTTAATTCTTAAAAATGGATTATAAATATATATCATTAATAATATCATAATAGATATGTTTAAAATTAGTTACTTAAATTTGAATTAATTAAATTATTTATTAATGTTATTTTAAAATTAAATTAATTGAATTTTAAATTGAATTTTTCTCATATCTAAAATTGACGTAATTAATTCTAAATTAAATTTTTATATTAACATTAAGTATAATAATTATATGTTTATTCATTATTATATAAATTTTGTATAAGAGAGGAACTCACTTTATAATACTATAATTGTATATGTATTTTATCTATTTACTATAAAACTATAAAATTTTATCTAATCTATAATATAAATAATAAAAAAAATAATATTATAAATAAAAAATGAATATATTTCTTGACAAAATAAAAAAGTGATGGTGTGTGCGTGTAGAGGCAGAGGCGCAAAAAAACAAATAACTAATAGGCATAGTTATATAATTTGGGATCAAATCAGTGCAAATAGATAAATAAATAATATTATAAATAAAATTAAAAAAGAAATATATTCTTTGATAGTGTGTGTAAGAGACAGAAAAAAGTAATAGTGTGTGTGATGACAATATTGACGACCACGACGACGATGATGGTGGTTGTGATGATCACGGTGGTGATAATGAAGGTACATACCAACTAGAATATGGACACATTTATTCTACTGCTTTTCATGGAGATCAAGGTATGTCCAAATATCCTTACGATGATAATTCATGTTTGTATAGAACAAATGCATCACAAAATAGAAGAGATGATGATGATGATAGAACTTATAGGAGGATGTGAGAACACTTTTATGATTCATTTGTAGATTCATCATCATATAGTTCAGCTACAAATGATAATGAAATTAGAGAATCATCTCATGATTCTCATTATTACCAATCAAATTCATGTTATCCACCTTACCTTGAACAAAATCCAAGTTATGGATTTTTTGTCATCATTTATCATACAACATGTTTCCTACCAATAATGCATCTTATGATGCACCTTATGATGCACATAATGTGATGTCTTCTTCACATGGAATAAGAATGAATCAAAACTAAGACAATGACGAATATGGAAATGCTTTAGATCCGTCACGTCATTAATTTTGGTGGTGAACTGTAAGATATAAAATTTTTATATTTGAAGTTATGTATTTTTTCTTTCTTTCTAAGTTATGTAAAATGAACATTTTTATGTTACAATAACAAAATTTTGATATGATTTTAGTGATATTGTTTATATGTTATTCATTAACATTATAATTATTATTACCCATTATCTATTATGATAGTACTTCTATGGTTTATATTTTTTTAATAAATTTTTATCTATGAAATTAAATTTTTATTTTCAAAATAAAATATTAAAAGAGTATATTAATATTAGTATATTAAAAGATAACTGTAAAATGTATAAATATAATATTTTAGACCTATTGTGATTTTTAAGGAAAAGATCACGCCCGTGACAGCTGTAATACGTTACGAAACATTTGCAGCATCCACAATCGTGACACCGCAATCGCATCCGTAACAAAATCCTCAACCGCAATTTGATATTATGTTTGGAACCAAACAACCCGGACTCGTTGTCGGATCAGAGAGACTGCCATTTGCATCTTCTGTGACCTCGAGAATGTGATCCAATCCAATACTGGAAAAACACCGGTTCCCGACAGAGCCGTTCATCCCTTGACTCATTGCCATCGGTGTGCGGTGAGTGCTTTCATCACGTAGATATTAGCCTCTATGGTATCATTTAATAGTGAATAGCTCCAGCTCTTGGAGGAGAAAGAAGAAGAAGAAAAACACATGTGTTTTGATTTTTTATTTATTTTTTAATTGCTTACTCCGACTTGGTTGTGAGTTAACGGAAGTCAACGGCTAAGGTATTTAAACCAGACATACAAAAAACGTAAGGATCAAACGCATTTAATTAAAAAATGGTGACCAAAGTCAATTAAACTAAAAACAAAGGGGACTACTGGAATAGTTTACCCATGAAAAAATGAAAAAACTAAAAAGAAAGAAAGAATTACGTGGCTGAATGAAATTGCAGCAAAGCAGTTTGACCAAAAGTCCATTTCTACCTCTCTCCCTCGCCATATTATCCTGCTTTGGCCGCGTCTTCAAACATCTCCGCCGTCGCCACTTCCCAGCAGCCAATTAAAAAGCTTCCAAAAGCAGCCGGTCGAATCCTCTTCTGGAAATGACTGGAGCTGGATCTGGAAACCCCCTTTCCCTATCTGAGGTATTCATACTTCAGTTTCATTTCTTTGAAACCAGTATTTTTAATAGTTTAGTTTAATCCATGTCCAAATGGACAAGTTCGATCTTCTTTTATTTTTTCCGTTTATTGCAATTGATCGGGACTTTTTTTCCCTAAAATTTTTATTTCGCTTAGAACTTTGTTCAATTGGACTGAAATGAGCCGATCTGACCGAGTGGTTCTGGATTTTATTAGTACCAGCGTTTTGAAGTTTTGATGCGGTGGTTTTTATAAAATTTTTGACTGCCTATGCTCGTTTATCAAATATATTTAAGATTCAACTTTCTTGAGAAGAATCATGATTCATGAACACGTGATTAATATGATTTGTTGCAGCTTTTGTTTTCTAAATGAATCAGCTCATTGAAGTTACTCTATCATTTGCCTTCAGATTTAATCTATTTGAGTTTGCTGTACGCAATGTTGGTGTTTTTGAGGGATGTCATTGATAAGATGCAATGAAAACGTAATGTTTTGAGCAAAGTTTTCACTGGGTTTGTCACTAGCTGCAAAGCTTGTAGAATGTAGAATCAAGTAAAATTTCTGAGCAAAATTTTGGATGGCTTGAGCATTCAAGCTTTTGACTAACTGAAATGAAATTCATTTATGACTATGTTGTGTGGAAATAATTTACATCGATGTTATAGAATGATTAATTAGGATTTCTATCATTGAAGCTTGTTGGTCCTTGAACATTCCATTCATGCGCAAATTTAGCTAGGATGCAACCTTGTTTGCTAAGCTTTGGTGCTGATAACTTCAATGAATTTACTACATATCTTGCTTGTAATGCCTTTTGTGTAGTTGAGAAGGTACTAAAGTTTTTTTTTGATAATGGGCATGCATAGTGGGAGTATTTATTTGACCTGATTATCCTGCAAACCTATTTGAATGTTTGGACATTTAGCAATATGCACTGAAGGAGGAGGAAAAATCAGATGCGGCTACAAAACCAGCAGAAGCGAAAGAGGTTGAAAATCCTGTGAATGCTGCTTCTGTGGAAGTTGTCTCTGAGAAAGTGGAGGCTTCTGTTGCTGCAGTTGAGGAAAGCACTGAAGCCGTTCCTGCTTCTGCTGAAGAAAGCACTGAAGCCAATACCACTGCCGAGAACAGTGGTGAAGATGCTCCAGCTGCAGCAGAGAACTCAGATGATGCTGAAGAAACACCAGAGATTAAGGTTGCCTTGCCAAAAATTTCTACTAAGATCTCAATCTTTGCTGCCAGCAGAATCTTTACGTGCATGTTAAACTCATCATTACATGTTAAACTGTTTCACTAATATATTTTGGTGATGTTTGATATGCAGCTTGAGACTGCCCCAGCAGATTTTCGCTTCCCAACTACAAACCAAACAAGACATTGCTTCACACGATATATTGAGTACCATCGGTGAGCTATGAATTACTTTGTATCTTATAAAGGTACAAAGGTTTGTTTCTTTTAAAATGCTTACTTGGTATATCTTTATCCTATCTTATACAGTTGTGTTGCTGCAAAAGGAGAAGGTGCTTCAGAGTGTGATAAGTTTTCGAAGTATTATCGTGCCTTATGTCCTGGAGAATGGGTGTGTATTTTCTCCCAAGATCCATAATACACTTCACTTCATCATAATCAATTACATAATGGTTTTAACTTTTAACTGATATCGGATGGCTACTGTCTGTTGCTCCTTTTGCATTTGTAAACTATGGAATACCCTATGACCCAACATCTTTTCAAGATAGGTGTTTCTAAGTTAATCCTAAAATGTGTATTAGTTTCAGATGGTCATGTTGAGCTGTCAAATAAGAGTATAGTGGATTGGTTGATTTTTTTTTTGGGTATCTTTTGATGAACATAAGTGCTAGAAAGTCCATATGGATGGCATATGGTGCCATTGGTGTAAAACCAATATTGATATCTTCCCATTGATTTGGAGGTGGGAAAGAGATTTCTTTGAGGGTTTGCAAGTGGAAAAAGAGAACATTTTGGGTATATCACATGGATGGAGAAGTAGATACAGGTGTAGACCTATTTGGTAGTATCAAAGAACATGTTGAAGGATATTCCTTTTATCAAGAAGTTAGGGTTTATGGGAAAAATGAAGGGGCTTAATTGAAAAGAACTTGGCTTGAAATTTGTGAAAGAGCTTGGTTGAGAGGAGATGATGAAGGGAATTAGATTTGGTTTTTTGATTGCATCCATGCCTTGCCTTAGTGACCTATTCAGTCTTCACTATTATGCAAGGCCTCTAAGATACAGTGATTACACAGGAAGCTAGCTTAAAATTACGTAATGATAGACTTAAGAGGAAACATATGAATGTCAAAAGCTACCACAAACCCTTAAGCTTGGGTAAATACCCAAAAGGCAGACTTAAATGACAAATTTAGGCCATACAGGAAATGAGAAGTCCATTCTTCAAAGTCTCCGATAAGTTTAAGACTATGATAGACTCCAATTTTGAGCTGATTTTGAACTAAATCTTATAATTGATTCTTTGGTTGAAGTAAAATGACTAAACTATAGAAGATTAAATCTTGTTCCTCACTTCCTTATCTCAAACTGTTCCAGTATTGGATGTCCTCATTGTCAACTGATCTGGAGATTTTTGTTAAAACTTAACATGAAGGCATGAGAATAAAAAGGTAGTAAAAAAAAGAAAGAGACAGGAATGAAAATGTTTAGTTTTGCATGCTCAATTCAATATATGATTAATACATTCCTGCGGTTTCAATTTAGACTATTTGAATGAGTATAATGTTAATAAACTCAGAAGCTGAAGAGTAAAAAATGCCAGCTTGTATTAACCATTTGGTCTTCAATCTAACAAATCACTCATTTCATTTGTGTTTCAGATCGACCGATGGAACGAGCAAAGGGAGAATGGCTCTTTTCCGGGACCTCTGTAAAAGGTACTGTCTATCGGAAAACCTTGTGGTTTTCTTATGTTATATCCCACCCGGGTGTAACCACAGATGAATTTGTTAAATGAAAATCCTATTTAAAAGGATGAGGTAATAAGAAATTCTGGCGTGTATTTTATACAAATTAGATCAAGGATGAAAACCTTTGCTCATAAAAATGGAACTTTTACTTCTGTTTACATGGTGAAGAACACATTCCTACGAAGTGGAAAAACCTTTTGTTTGAAGTTATTTCTACTTTAACAACATTACGTTAATTGGTGCTTATTCCTTGAAAAGTTATGATTGCTGGAGTTTCCATTCTCATTGAGGAATCACAACTTATCAAACAAAAACTCTATTTAGTTCAAGGTTTTAGAACATCAAATACGACAAAAAAAACAAAAACAAATGAAGTCTAGTGAAAATTTCAGCTCAAGACACAACAAGGATGTGGGAATTTAGATTTCACGAAATTCATGGTCTCACTTGAGAACAAAAGCTGGCTCGGCTTTAGGTAAACACACCCAAAATAAGATAACAACACAACAAATTCAAAATATTTTCAAAATTGATACCATATAGAACATAATTTAAATACGATTATAAATAATAAACCAATAATAAAATATGAAGTCGACCTAGTAACCAATTGGGTAGAGAAGTTCCAGTGGTTTGTAGGGTTAGGCTGAGCTGCCCAACATGGGTTCTTTTCTTTTCATGCTTTAGACTAACTAGGCTCACAATTTCCAACCCTAATTTTCGTTTCTCCATTAGATTAGATGAGATTAATCTTATTGAGATTAAAAATATTTATATCTAACAATTAGTGATTTTGATAAATGGTGAGATAAATTTCGATTAGATTTAAAATGCTCATTTATACCCTAAAGTTTAATGAAAAATATATCAACCCTTTGTTTAAATTAAATACAAAGACGATTATACTTGGCTATTATTCACCTATATATTTTCTAATAAAAATTTACACAAATAATGCTGAAAAAGAGACAGATGTACGAAGAAAACGAAAGTAAACCAAGAAGATGATAGCGATACACATATATAAACATAATCCTCAATCATTTAATAATTACAGATTTCAGAAATCATATTTAAATACTTCGAAGACAAATATCTACTAATATGATTTCCTTCTTTATATTACTCATATTTTACATGAAAATAATTTTATATTAATATAAATGTTATCCTATCATAATTAGAAAAAATCACATCGTAAGCCCACAGTTTGAGCTACTGACTAACAAAGTTTAAAATCATTGTGTTTTCGCTTAAAATATGAAACTTTAGTCCTTTTTTTTTTTGGTTGTATTCAAAGTTTTGCCTTTGATTTATCTGAATTGACCCGAGTCGCTCACCTAATATTGGTGGGTGAATCTACCGACGAGTATTTTTACGTACACAAAGACTCAAACCTGAAATATTATTTAAGCGGTATCAAGCTGCTTTTCACTTCAACCAACCCGTTAGTTATCCCTTCCTTTTTTAACACTATACAAAGTTTCATTCATAGAGGCTGTTGGAGAAGCAAATAGGAACTAATTAAATTAATCGATTCCATTAGTCTTTTCCTTCCTACATTCCACCATGAAATAACAACAAATATATATAATGACGGTATCATATTGTACCATAAAACATTATCAAAGTACCTACAGTTACAACAGATTAAATTTTCAAGCAAAAAAGCTTGTCGGAGTAGTGATTCTAATCCATCAATGAAACAAGTAAAAAAAAAAAAAGCAATGAAGCAAACACCGCCATTAATGAACCCGGTTCTTTCGTCTAAGTACTTATTGGGTGAAACAGCATGGACAAGAACCCACGTTTCTTCTTCTTACGATCATTGCCTTCTTCGCTTCTCATTTGGGAAGCACAAGCGACTGACCAGCTCTTAGTGAGTAAATTCTTGCCATTAAACAACAAAAAGCAAAAAGAAGGCCCTCTTCCATCTGCACTAAAACGATGAGCACGAAAGGGAGAGGAAGAACACGAGGAATAAGATGAAGATGATAAAGAAGACGACGTCGAAGAATAACAATAAGATGACGAATGAGTGGATAACCGACTCAGTTTGTCGGCTAAACAAAGCGAACAAACTCCAGGCGATTGCCTGTGTTTTGGGTGTCTTTTACATCCTTGGTTTGGCTTGGATCGCCGACCACCTCCTCCGACATGTTCCGATGATGTTTTGGAGCTCGGCATTGTGAATACGGATTCCGAGTCTTGGTCTTTGGGGGTGTAAAAAGGAGTTATTATTATATATTATAAAGGGCAAAGTGGGAGGTTGCAAGGGAGTTTCACGGGAGCTTCATTCTTTTCCTTTTAAATTTAGGTCAGGTTGACTATTGGAGAAAAGTTTGACATGGAATAAATGAAGGGCTCTGATTTTGGGAATGTACTTTTTTGGCGGTTCACATTCTTTGTTGCTAGGCGGCCTATGGAAAATCAAGAATTGTTTTACAGTCATGATTTTTTTTAATAAAAAATTACTATTATTTTTATTGAAATATAATGTAATTTGACACCACATTCAATATTTATTGATAATATTTATTTTTAGATAAAAAAAATCTTAAAAGATATTGTATTATTGTTACCAAAACAAAAGATATTATATTATTTCATGTAACAATAAACATATTTATATATTATTGATGAAAATAAAAAATACTTATAGGATTTCACATGAAAATACTGATTTTCTAAAAAAAATTGTTTTCTATCTATACTTTCATTTTTTATTTTTAGGAAAAAAAATAAAAGAGAACATAATAGAAAGATACCAACAACTTTAATAAAAGGGTAAATTACAAATTTCACCATTAAACTTTATTCTCTCTCCTATTTTTTGGACTATATACATTGAATATTTTTTGTCACTCTGCCATTAAATAGCTAATGGGGTTAAAACAATGATGTTTAAAAAAATAAAATTTTCACCAAAACGATGTCGTTTTACATCTATATAAAAACTCATTTATAATGTCGTTAGTAAAATAAAAAAGAGAATAAATTTTAATTGTCAAATTTGTGATTTACACTTGATAAAATTATAACAATCACCTTACTTCTTTAAATATTTTTCCGAGGTAATATTATTCTAAAAAAATTCAACCACAATATATTTTTAATTTAGCCAACAAAAGTATTAAAGAAAAGACCACTAATTTTCTAAAAAAATATTTAAAATATTTATTAAATACTACGGTTAAAAAAATCTCCCAAAATTTTGACTTAATCACTTAATCTCACTGAAATAATTAAAAAAAATTTGATTTTTTTCTAATCTTTGTGTTTAGTAAATATTTTAGCATAATCCACAAACGCAGAAGACTCGAAGTTCTGTTAGTTAAAATGATCAACGGACTTCGAAGACTAGGATAATACCTCTAAACAATTTTAAAAACTAAATTGACATAAAAATTATAGAGACGAAAATGACAAATTAAATATATTTTAAATCATAAATATTCCTTAAACTTTTTTTTTAAAGACTTTGCTAAAACAAACAGTTCTGGAATTATTTAGTCCGTCCTTTTGTCTTTCTACGTCGGCAAAATATTTTAATTTTTGCGCTAACATAAGCAGTAAAATAATGTACACATATTTGTGTTCGTGTCCTTGTTTTTAACCATCAAATGCAATTTTTTAAGGCCGCACTGTTGCCCTGATATCATTTGTGTCGAGTTATTTTTTAAAGTACTTCACGAGATGTTTTATCCCTTAAAACCCCTCCTTCAAATCCCTCCCTCCCTTTAAAACTCACCTTTTCCTCTCCCTCGCTCCATGCAGTGCTACTCGCTCCTCCTCTGTCCTGGTCCTAGACCAAGAAACTGACTAGAAAGTCACTTTAAAAGCCGAAAAAAGACACCTTCAAGTAGGTCCTCGTTGTTCGAAGGCCAATCATGGACATCCCCATTGAAGAAGATGGTCAAGAAGATGACGGAAACAACGACGCTTCCAAACCATCATTTGTATAGATGTTGTTCTTAAAAAGTTCGCTAAGAAGATGCCTATATTTGAACCGAAAGAGGTGAGTTACCCATCACCCTTTCTTCGATATGGGCCATGTTTTTTTACGTGTGCAAATGGTGTATCGAAGGAGAAAACTAACTCGGAGGGCACATGTTTTGTTGGTGAAGGATGTACCGTTGGATGCGGGGGTGCTGGATGTGGAGCAGCTTGTGGGTAAATCTTTGATTTCTTTCATTACAAGAAAACCTTGGAACTAACTATTTAGCTTTATGGGATTACAATGTAAAGTGAGGCAACTGGACTTCTGCTAAGAAATGCTATATACAATAAAACTACTGCTTCTCCATAGTATGACCTTTTGATGTACTCGACAAACTGATTCCATTAATGGTGGAAAATAGTGAATGTCATGCATCATTTAATTTATTAGGTTTTTATTGTTTCTATTTTCAATCAACTACATAATTATATATAGTTGGTAGCTAAAGAATATCCATGTTTCTTGAGTTTATACATTCTAGTTTTGTTCTTTGAAAAGAATCTGGAGTCTATTTTGTTTTTATTGGAATCTGCGATATGCTATAATCTAACATGATCTATGTTCATTTTTTATCAATGAAAATTGTATTAGAGAAGGAATTACAATAGGATTCATTTTCTTTTTTTGTTACATTTTGATGTATTTGATGTGGTGGAGTTAAGGTAATTTTTTTTTGTGAAGCTTTGTTAAGTTACATTGCACTTACAATCAATATTGACTTATTATGTATGGAAACATATTGTAACTTTTATGTATGAAAATATTTTGTGGTGTTTTATTTATGTAAAATAGAATGTAACTTTATGATCTTTAGTAATTGCACTTAACACATGCTTACACTGTAAGTGAAAAGTAAAAAAAATATATAGCATTTAACACATAATTATATCAGTGTAAGTATCTACATCTCTCAATATTTTGTCTGAAAAATTATAAGCATTTTTAGCAAGTTAGCAGCTTGATCACAACATTGTCAAAAAAAGGAAGAAGAGTTCCATTCAAAATGGTTAGCAAAAAATATAGTAAATCAGTCTCAACGATGACACTCTCTTAAAGAGAGTGTTTTTTTTTTTGCTTTGAAGCATGTTGATTACTCGTTATATGTGCATCTCTATGACCGGGCAGAGAGGGAGT